CAAAGCTTTCCCCCATCATGGCAGGGTGGTCTCCGTTTCCGCTTGCTGCACCACTATTAAAACATAAGATTCGCCCCCAATCCCCCCCCGAAAAAATCCCAAATAAACCCACAGAGCACAATCTGCGAACGGAAGGATATCTCTGACCCCGCACCTTACAGAATTCCACAGGAAGGGCCCAGTGAGCCAAATTAAACCACGATGAGGAGGCGAAAGATCACATTGGAGAGGAAGCCGATCTGACCCTGGAGAGCCGCTGCCAGTCTGAGTAGACAACGCCAATGCTCCCTCTAAGCTGTGGAGTGTTGTGAGCAAAAATTCTACTTGGTGAGCTCCTGGCGTTAAAGCGGTGAGCGAGCGATTTGGCCACTGCATCAGTTAGTTTGCTCCGGAGCCATCCCTCCTGAGCGAAGGCAAAGATGTGTGAGCTGGAGGCTAAAAAACTGCGAGCTAGCTCACACTAACTCAGCTTAGAGGGAACACTGCTCTGGAGCCCTCCTTCCTGAGCTAAAGCAAAAATGGGTGAGCCGGAGGCTAAAAAACTGCGAGCTAGCTCACACTAACTCAGCTTAGAGGGAACACTGCTCTGGAGCCCTCCTTCCTGAGCTAAAGCAAAAATGGGTGAGCCGGAGGCTAAAAAACTGTGAGCTAGCTCACCCTAACTCAGCTTAGAGGGAACACTGCACAAGACTGAGCTAGATAGAGAAGGATCTGCGTTGGCATAAGGCAAATTCCTGTGACCAAAGTATGACAGCCCAAGTTTAGTATTTTGGGAGGCAATCTATCTTTAAGTGCGATCCGTACAAATGCCTCCCCTCACATCAGACTCTCCTAACAGTCAGGTTAGTCTTGGGCCAGGCCTAATTTCAGCTTTCTAGGTGGAGTTTGGGAACCTTCTGAGATGTTCTTCAGATTCCCCATTTGGGACAAATACTTTGCTTTTAGACTTGAACACATGAAGTTGCCTTATGCCAACTCAGACCCTCCTCCATCAAGCTCAGTTTTTTTCTGCCCAGACTGACAGCGGCTCTCCAGGGTCTCAGGCTGGGGTCTTTCCCGTCACCTCCTGCCAGGTCCTTTTAAACTGGAGATGCCGGGGATTGAACCTGGGACCTCCTGCATGCCAAGCAGAGGCTCTTCCACTGAGCCACAGCCCCTCTTTACAGCTCTCCAGGGTCTCAGGCGGAGGTCTTTCCCATCACCTCCTGCCGGGTCCTTTTTAACTGGAGATGCCGGGGATTGAAACTGGGACCTCCTGCATGCCAAGCAGAGGCTCTTCCACTGAGCCCGGGCCCCTCCTCCAAGGACATTCAGATGCTTCTGTTAATGAGTCAGCCCTCTAGGTCTGTGTGTCATGCTCGGTCTCTTTCTTTCGCCCCCATATTTTTCCATGTGACACATCAAGAGAGAGATCTGGAGAGGTGAGGAGGTGGCCTCTTGTTTCTCCTTTCTTTCTGCCTCTAAAGAGGAGCCATGGAAACTTTCTCAGCTTCCCAAGCCCGGCTCTTTCCTCCCTCCCAGCGGACACACCCAGCCCTCCTCCTCCCTCGGCTCATTCTTTAGCCCAAAGCAAACAGGCTGTTGCGCACACATTCGCTTGGCAACTGGAAGGAGCTTCCCCAAACTGATTCATCGCCTCCGATCCACCCCCTCTCCGCCTCTGGGATCTCACTGCAGGGATGCCTTTGGCCACTAGAGGGGGCAAGAGAGATTCCTCATCATCTGTCCCTGGGCAGTTTGGCCATGTGGGTCAGGATTCAGGAGGGTTGGGACCAATGTTCCCTCTAAGCTGCGAGGTCTTGTGAGCAAAAATTCTACTTTGTGAGCTATGGGCATTAAAGTTGTGAGCGAGCGATTTGGCCACTGCATAAATTAGTTTGCTCTGGAGCCATCATTCCTGAGCTAAGACAAAAATGCGGGAGCCAGAGGCTAAAAAATTGTGAGCTAGCTCACACTAACTCAGCTTAGAGGGAACACTGGTTGGGACTCTTTCACCGGTCAGTGGGTCATGAGGCACAGACTCATGAGCTGCGAAAGGGTCCCGAGGGCAGGAAAATTAGAAAACATG